TACCGCTCATGGACGAAGGCACTTTCCATCGCACCAAGTGCGACCTATATATATATATATATATATATATATAAAACAGATATAAATTTACTTACTTGTTGCCCCTAATCTTGAACCACGTATCAGCACAGTTCTTGTGGGCAGCAGCCAAATCATCCTTGCAAGAACAACCCAATTCAATCGGAGCTCCGGATTCGTGGCTGTTACTCTCCAAACCCAGATGACAAATCCGACAATCTCTCTCTACTCTATCCAAATGAACCTTAATTTCCGGCACCCCAATCTCAATTTCGACAACCTCGACCGAACTGTCCGAAACAGACGAGGCTCTCCGAGAATCCGACACCACGCCGAGCTGAGGATCAGAGACAAAAGCGAAATTGTACTCATCGTTGGAGCCGCCATTGGTCGAGAAGAACTGAGAGTAACACGACCCGTCGTCTGCGTCGGAGAAGCAGACGCTGCCGCCGCCGTCGGCGCTTCCGGAGAAGGAGCGGCGGTGGGTTCCTTGCTCTAAATCGACTTGGGACATGTTCGGAGGTTAAAATTTAAAAAACCCAGAAGCTGAAACTCCGCCGGAAGGCAAAGAACAGAGCATTCGGGCATTAAAGTTTGGAGCTTAGGGGGGTTTCGAAAACTATTGAAGAAATATTTGATGGAATTTGAGGATTTAAGGAAGTGGGTTTTGTTGGATTAGGTGAACTTCGACTCCATTAAGATTGTTTATGTTGGAAATTTGTTACCAACAAAATTAAATGCACCCAATAAAGTTTGATCAGTTTAAGGACAAAGGTTTAGGCTTGCAAGCTTGAAGAATGTAGAGAGAGAAAGAGGATAGGGAGAGAGAGGTCTCAGAAAGCAAGAGTCATGCCTTAGAGAGCTGGGACTGAGTACCCCTCATGGAGGAGGAAGAGATATACAGAAAACGTACAGTGGGTGCACTGATTATTTCGGAAGAGAGATTTCCATTGGTAAAGACAACTTGAAATTTGAAAAAAGCAGTGATAAGTGGAAAAAAGAAAGAAAAAAAGAAAAAGTTGGTGGAATATTTGGTGTGCTATGTAATTTTATACCAATAATGCTAGATTAATTTTTTAAATTAAATTTAAGAATTATTTAATTTCTTATAAATAAAATATAAATACGTTAATTAATACTTTCTTAAAGAACAAGCTAAATACATTCATAAATTTGTATTTTAATTTCTAATTTAGAATAAAAAGTGGCTTTTCTTCCAGTTAGAAGAATGTTGGCTCTTTTTCTAAATCAAATTTTATATCAACTCATAAATCTTTGAGTCAATTACAAGGTCTTTTTCAAATTATTAATGATACCTAAATCAGATTAATTGTTTGATATAATACATTTCCTATTTCTAAACACAAATAATACATACATTTATTACAAGGGCAATGCTAGCAAACTTCTTAGAGCATATTTAAAGAAGATGTCAAATATAACATGTCAAAATTTTATTTGATGACTAATGTGGCAAATTAAATACAAGTGCTAAATTCTCTTTTTTTCTAATGGATGTGTCAAATATTTATTTTATTATTTTATTGAACCTAGAGTTACATTAACTATTAAAACATAATCAAAAATAGTTTTATTTTTTTATTCTATTGGTTGTTAATGGGACCCAGACATTAAAAATTAAATAAAATATATTTGACTCCTTTATTTGCTATAAAAAGGTAGCTAGAAAGTAAGGAGTCAAATGATTTACATGTCACATCATATATGACATATCCATTGGAGAACACTTAAATGTCTTTTAATTCTATTTGGCATATTACTTTTGCATTCTATCTTCTTGACTCTTCTTCACATCTTCATAATAAAGCTCATGTCAATGATCTAAATCCTTTATTTTTTAGATCATCATTTAAAGATCATATTTGCAAAAAAAATTAACTAAATACAAAATCAGGGAGTCATCTAACATTATCTAATAAATAGGTGAACAATATTTCTTACTTGAACTTTGAAATTTTGTCAACGTTAATCAAATAGTTAAACAATACTAATTTGGTTGATTTTTGTAAAATTAATCTTTAAAAGATGATGTAAAAGTTAGACATTCAGATTAACAAACAGCATTATAGGATTGAAAAAAACTGAAAAAATAAGAAGAGAAAATTCAAATAAAAGGATGGTTAGCATGTAATTAATACCTAGATAGTGATAATTTCTCGTCTCCTTAAAACGACCGATTTGCCAGGACAATTGTACAACAAATGAAGAAGAGATTTTTAATATGCCGAAATCAAGAATCGATACATTAACTGTCATAATATAACTAATTAAATAATTAAAAAATATTTTAATCAATTATATTATGACACTTGATATGCTATACGATTTGCCCGAGCATTGAAAAATTTTACCCAAATGAAGGCAAAGAATATGAGGATTCGTAGAAGATGAGGCGGCAATGTGTCAGAAACCACATCCCAATTATTTAATGCTTTCAGTTACCCATTACATACTTTAATCAGTGGCTGCTCCTTCTCCTAGAGTACAAAATAATTTTAGTACCTGCAACTGCAAGCAGGATTCTCTGTGCATCTCTCTCCTTTACCACTCTTTCATGCATGGATCATGGCCGTCTATTTTTAGGGAAACGTAACCGAACGACGAAATGGATGAAATGGATGAAATGGATGAAATCAGGGCCGTAGATTGTGGATACTAGCAGCGCTGCATCAACAATATTTATATCCCCTCGTTGTATTTTATAATTTTGTAGTTTTGGAATTTCCCAGTCATGATGCAGTTGACTGGAGGTGGGACCACCTCAAGGTCAGTGTCGCTTATGTAATATTGCCTTTGCGTGAGGAACAAAAAAGTACAATAAATTTACTATAAAAAATTAATCTTAAGGAAAAAGGAAAAAGGAGTGGAAAATTTGAAAAGAGCTACATTCCAATTCTGGTTGTTGCCTAAGATCCAACGAACCAAATCAGAATTGGTCTGCCCTTTAAATCTCCTTTCTCTTTTTCTTCTTTTTGGAAAGATTTGTAGTATCAAGTGCTACAATGCATCGTAGTAGAAGCAAAATGCTTTGTATCAAGTAGTCATTCTTCGTTATCTTCGATCTTTTGATAAGTTTTTGTGCCCGAAAACTTGTATAAGGCAACGAATAGATGAAACCAAAATACAAGAGTGCGAGATGGTTTGTTTTTTCAAACAGACAATTATATGGTACGGAATTTGCATCTTAAAACATGGTTGGCAAATAAAGAAAAATAAGTTACTAGCATATAAAGAACAAAACAATATTAAACTGTTAATTTCATCTCAACATCCTAATCATTACAAAGTTGACCAAAACAAAAATTCCAAGCATTACAAGGGGCAGTCTAAAATAATAGGAAATAGCCAAGCCACGAAACAAAGGACAGTTTGTGATTCGGTCAAGGAGTAAATTGAGGAGGAACTCCTCTTCAATCTTAACTAGCGAAACTCCTCTTTTCCTGTAATATGTTTTTGAGGTATTTGTTAGTTGATCCTCTGGGGAACTTGTATAGAGCGTCCAATTTTTTACCTGAACTTTAATTTTAGCCTACTATTCCTGAAGTTTATAATTGATCAATTTCTTCACTGAACTTTAACTTTAGCTGATTACTTCCTAATATTTTATAAATAGCCAATTCCCCCTCCCCCTAGCGTTTAGATTTTAAAATTTTTCATCCAAATTTTCATTGTTTTTGTTCTCATACAATTGTCATATATTGTCGACGTGATCAAAATGGATAGAAAGTTGATGAAATTTTTTAAAATCTAGCGTCAGGAAGAATTGGTTATTTATAAAAGTAAAATTAAAGTTAAGGGGGAAAAATGGACTAATTATAAAAATTCAAGGAAGTAATCAGCTAAAATTAAAGTTTGGAAGAAAATTGATAGCTCTATACAAGTTCGGGGAACAAATAAAGAGATATACCTATGTTTTCTTGTTGATAAACTTGATAACAAGGCAATAGGCGTTTGAACACAAAATCCCAAGTCCAGGAAAAAAATCCTTCACCGCTTGAGTTACAAATGTCGTAATTGCAAATATTGTAATGGAATAAAAAATATATATACTCTTGGAATCTCATTCTTTCTTCTACTTTTCTCTTTAGCTTTAATGTTCTTCGCTCCTTGTGTTGTGGGTCATCCTTTGATTCTTCCCTCTCATAACTGAAAACCTTTGTCTTCCAATGTCCACACTTACACGACAAATAATTAGTTAAACAAACGCACCATTTTGAATTGCTTTTATATCTCTCTCACATGTGATGCGAGTGTAGGTGGAACCGACCCACTTGCTCCATCTACAAATTGAAAGAGGAGCAAGTAATCCTTGAGGACAACGAGGAGGGTCATATGGTGGGCCTGCCCTATATCTAATATCTTACCCTTCACTGGGGCAGTTCGTCGACTCGACAGCTACACTACACTGAAAAAGGAGCCAAGGCTTGGAGGACACAGTCCAATATCCATCTTCTGGGGTCCTACAAGTGTTTTTACTTGTTTCATTGTTTCCCCTTCAAACTAGAGTCAGTCTTCCTAGCTATCCGTTTGGGTTGGACCATAACTTTGGTAGGGCTGACTGACTAAAACAACTCTTACGTTCAGTATGATCAACTTGGAGTCGGGTGTGATCAAAATACAGGGGTCCTATGTATTTGTGAGAGGTGGAATACCGAGGCTCGGTTGGACCAGGGTGAGGTCAATTGAACTTTTTATTTGAGTTGTACATGTTCTTGGGTTGTAGAGGTGACCTGGTCCTCGCAATCAGACCTAAGAACATCTTCTTGGGTTGGTATTAGGAAAGAAGAGATATCTTAAACAAAATATCACATGTCAATAGTTTAACTTCACGTATGAGATTTTGTACCCATAAATCTGAATAAACGCTCATGGCAAGTAATGAAATGTCAAAAAGAACTTGAGTTTTGAGGATGCTGTTAATGTATGCAAACTAGCTTTTCATATGTCAGAAATCTGGAAAATAAACAGCAGCTACAAGGGAGATTGATAGGGTTTTATGGTTATACAACCAATAGAAACAATGAAACATATTTTCTGAGCCAACAGCAGCTACAAGGGAGACAGTTTCTTGAGTTGAAAAGAGTTGCTTCAAATTCTCTTCAGCTAAATAACTACATGCATATGGTATTAACGAAGAGAAGAAATGCCACACCTTTCAACTGGATTAACAGTTATTGAAAGTTTATTGAGGAAAAAAATTGACCTCTCGTTTCTCCATGACTCTTAGAGTAGTGACGATTCTCAGACTGGGAAACAAGTATCTTCATTGATCCTACTTGATTAAGTGGTGACAGAAACTTGAATCCCCTGCTTTAGATTGTAGTTGTAGAACATTCTGTGCACCAGTCTTAGGTTGATAGTACATTGGTCTTCATGCCCATTCGCCTATCGTTTCTCTCTTCAACAGGAAAAAGATGATTCGTTCTACTATCCTCAAAACGCCGCATTTGTCCTTGAGACTCATGAGTCGTTATTCTACCAGCTGCATCACCCATTCCTCTTACACTGTTATTCTCCAACCCACTTTTAAGCCAAGCAAGGTTACTTATATCTGTGGCAATTGCAGCCAATTCGAAACTTGGAAACAAGGGAGGCTCGGAGAATTCCACGAATTCTGGCCCCAACAACGAGTTTTGAAAGTTCATACCATTCTGTGCACAGCAGCAACCATGGGCACACTGATCAGGCACTGAGAGCTCACCATAAACTCCTTTGAGAAATTTACTGATACCAACATCTAGTTTTGATTCTCGAACAAGAGGTCCTTGCGCTGGAATCGGCCTTGGGAATGATGATTCAAGCTCCTGGCTATTTGATTGGTTGTATACACTAAAAGCACTGATCCGTGCCACTGGTCTGAAAAGATTAGGCTGTTCGGTGGCTTCATGACTAAACTGAACCTCTGATGACCCATTGTATTCATCTTGATCATCCATATGCTGAAAAGAACTGACTTCTCTTCCTTCCATAGATTTAGATGAATTGACGTCCCCATACGAGAAGGTCTCTTCAGATGATCCTTTTGTTTTGTCTAAGCTAACATCTTCAACCATATTACCAGATTCTAACTTTATTTTCTCAGGGTCCATGCACCGGCGCTTTAATGTGGAATTCCAATGGTTTTTTATGGCATTATCAGTCCTCCCTGGTAGAAGCCGAGCAATTGCAGCCCATTTGTTTCCGTGGACTGCATGGGCTGCAACTATCATCCGATCCTCCGCATCTGAAACAATTCAAACCTATCAGCCTTCTTCTCCAGGAAGAATCATGTAGACATGAATTCATGACAAATGGGCTGGAATAGCCGAAGGAAGAAAGTGATAAAATTGAAATTATATGCTATCAGATTTCAACATAATGCACATTTCCACTAACCGAATATGTATATTACATGTAACAACTCAAATGTGCCTATTCTTTAGGTAGATTCCTCCTACTATACATCAACGTATTACACACGTCTTTTAGGTGGCTCAGCTACATCCGGTCAATTCCCCTAGATTCTTAGGCGCACATACAGTAGTTTAATTCAACAATGTACGATAAAGAGTGATGCATTCTAGAATTTTTGCTTTACGTAGTAAGAAAAATCCTAACAACATGTGAATAACAACAGTCCAATTTCGCTATCGATTGAATCAAAATCACGACCAAACAAAACATCACATGAAATTCTCCAAACAAATGGATGAAGAATCCTGTCGGAATCATGCTCAATGCGAAAAATTGAAGCTTGTTAACAATGTGCTCAAACGGATAATGCAAAAACCCAACTTGAAATTCAAATTGAAGCTTGTACAGAAACCCCTTAAAGTTAAACACTTGAAAAAAAATCCTAATTAAAAAGATGCAAAAGCAGCAAAACCCTCAATTCGAAATTCAAAGTTAGAAAAACATACATTTCATTAAAGAATTTCAGGGTTCAGTTCAGAACAAAGTATATTATACCAGTAAAGGGTTTGCGCTTGACGGCGGGGTCGAGCTGGTTGCACCACCGCAGGCGGCAGGACTTGCCGGATCGTCCGTCAATTCCTCGGGCGATCAAGCTCCAATTCCTAGCCCCGAAATTGCTCACCAACCGACTCAGCACCGCGTCTTCTTCCGGAGACCAAGGACCCTTCACGTTGTCCCGCCCCGATTTCCTACGGCTTCCGGCTCCGCCTCCCGCCGCAGCCTCTTCACCGCAATCTCCGCAGTCTCCGGCGTCTATTTCTACAGCGGCGGGGTCGTCGGCGACTTCCATTTCCATCTCTATCCTGTTTTATTTAGTTGGTGTTTGGAATTGGATCACAGTCACACTGCTCGTACTCGACTACCTACCTTACTTAACCGCAAGAGTAGACTACTAGTACTACTGTTGTTTCCGTTGACACGATAAAAGACAGCTCCCATGATTTCTACGACGGACAAGGATTGTCTGCCCTCCTTCTTCCCGTGCCCTCTCATGCCCTCCTGTTTGTGTGGTCACGATTAAGCCACGTCAATATTTTATATTACTATTCATTTTTGTCTTATTATCTCTATAAAAAAACAATATAAAATGTTGACGTAGCTTAACCGTGATCACACAAAACAGGAGGGCATGGGAGGGCACGGGAACAAGGAGGGCAAACAATCCTTGTCCTTCTACGACAGTTTCGAACCTCTCATGTGTCTTGTCCTAAATTTACCTTTGTGCACTCCGCGTAATTTTAAACTAAATTTGAAAATTAAATGATATATTATTAATAAAAAATAAGTATATTAATTAATATTTAAGTAATAATTTAATCATCAATCACCATATTATTTCACTTACAAACTGTGCTTTAAGAATCTGGTCTCCGTAGCATTCCCCTTTCAACTAGGGATGGGTGGATTGGGTTGCTTTTGGGACAAGACCGAAACGAAAACCGACTTGGTAGTTTGGCTAAAATTACAAACCGAAGCCGATCAAGTCTGGTCTAAAACCGATTAGGTTAGTTAATCGATAAGATCGAGTTGGTTTGGATCAATTTTCGGTTTGTGCATGACGCTGGGCCTGCTGCTTTATCCCTTCTTTGCTTCATGGCAGAGCCAAACGCTCTCACCCACCCCCAAAAACGACAACTGCCTCTTTTTTTTTTTTTTTTTTTGGAAGAAGAATAACATTCCTAGGCAGAAGCCGAAAAATACAAGAGAGCCTACAAGAGGCTAACACCAAACAGGCACATAGAGAATGAAACGGCAATTGCCTTTTTAAAATAAAAGGCATCTGAATGAGGATTAGCATTTCTATTTAGAATAGGAATGTGATTGTGTAAATCCTAGAGAATATGGGAAAGTATTATATATTCCTATTAGGATTAGATTACCTATTAAATGTTGTAATCATAAAGGGAAAGGTATTTACCCTTCCAACTACTATAAATAAAGGCACAATGGGGTGAATCAAACACACCTCACAATTAAATCAATCTCTCTTCTCTCTAAAGTGGCCGGCCTCCCTCTCTCTCTTAATCTTAGATCACTCAATTAAATAGGCCTACAACACGTTATCAGCATGTTCTTGCTAGAAGCTGAGGAATTAAAGCATCGTAGGAGGAGGCTATCATCCACCACATTCAAAGGCTTATTCGTTTTCTGCTGCTCAGGTACGCTTAAAATAAAGGAAGATATTTGAAATGACCCATGAAGCATGAAAACATTCCCCATGATGCATGAACCCCCTATGTTTATATTTTCCTTCTGATATATATATTGTATAAGTTCATATATTTGTCACTATATATATTTGTTTCATGCATCGCACAATTAAATTGTTATGTGGAATTTGTGAGTTAATGTATAAAATTAAATTAGAAGCATATTAGGTTTTTCCTAAATCTAAAGGGATTTGAATAAAAAAAATGGGGAATGGGATTTGGTGCATCGCACCATCCCTGTGCCAAAAAGGAAAACAGGCTTCGGCCTGATTTTGGTTTCTTTGCTGGGCCTGCAGCCCATGGCCTTTCTCGGCCTACATCAAAAACCTGCCAGCCCTCGGCTGGGCGCCTTATGCACACAAGGCACACAAAGCTAGCCCTCGGGCTGGGCCTCTTATGCCACAAAATCAAGGCCCAGCTTCGCTGGGCTCCCTGCGTGACCAACCCGCAAGCTTTGGGCTTGCCCCTGTGACCCCTTGGACCAAAACACCTAAACCAGCTACGGCTGGGGGTTTTGTCCCTTCCGTGGCTTGCAGCCATACCTTAGGCCCTGCCGTTTTTACTCAAGGCACCCCGTGCCTTCCTTTACCCACGGCACCCATGCCCAAATTATTTTGGGGCATTTTTCCACCCACAAGCTATTATTTTAGCATTTTAAATAATTTAACCAGGATGTTAATATTATTTTTGCTTCTACAATCGACCCTGTATGGCCCGATTTATTGAATTAATTAAAAGTAACCTGCAGTCCACTGATCTGATAATGAATCCAAAATTATTGACCTGAAGATCACTTTTGGACATTAATGATTCAATAATTTATTTTTATACTTTGAACCGTCACATACTTTCGTAGTACCGAAGCTCTCACACTTGAGTTCCCGAAGCCAACTCAAATCCACTACACTTAGTTAGTATATTGCATTTTGTGTTTCTTGCAGGAACCTCTCGTTATGAACTAATCGTTCATAAAACTAATTTGAACCTGTAGTTTCAAAATTAGTGCCTTTGAAACCTGAAGTTTTCATTCAAAACATACCACATGAAACCTGAAGTTTTCATGCATAAATTAAACCAATACATGTTTATAGAACCTGTATGTTCTACGATATATGTCTATGGCTTACCATATAACTAATCACGTTTTTCCCTCTGTTTTAGGGACATGTCGAACTTGAACAAGCTCGATTTCTCCGCTCTCGAAGTCTCTGGAAGAAACTATCTAAAGTGGGTTCAAGACGTGAAGCTCTATCTCACTGCAAAGGGTATTAGAGCCACTATTGAGACACCTATTGCCGACGAACTTGTCGACGAAGCTCAGAAGGCTACTGTAATGATCTTCATTCGAAGACACATCCATGATGCATTGCAGACTGAGTATCTCGCTGAGGAAGACCCACGCACCCTCTGGCTTGCTCTGGTTGACCGTTTCGATCACCAGAAAGACATATACTTGCCTGAAGCAAGACACGACTGGCAGCATATTCGCTTCCAAGATTTTAAGTTCGTGAATGAATACAACTCGGAAATTTGTAGAATCCGTTCTTTGTTGAAATTCTGCAAAGTGGAACTAACCAAATCAGATCTCCTGGAGAAGACCTATTCGACCTTCCATGCCACCAATATTGTCCTGTAGCAACAATATAGGGCACATAAATTCACCAAGTTTTCGGATTTGATCTCTGTTTTACTTCTTGCTGAAAAGTAGAACCAGCTTTTGATGAGGAATCATCAAGCTCGAACCACTGGCTCGAACGCTGTGCCTGAAGCGTATGCGACCAATTTTAGCAGCCATAAACGACGAAAGAACCGTCGTGGCCGTGGAAATGGGCGGCAAGCCTAACCACGGGCCCAAGGTCAACAGAGTGTCGCACCTAAGGGAAGAATTGTGACCCAGCAGCATCCACCACTCGCACCTAAGGTCCCAAACTTCAAGAACAAGGGCAAAGCTCCCGTTCAGGCCATTTCTATTGAACTGGATATGTGCTATCGCTGTGGATCAAAGGATCATTGTCACGCGTATGTCGAGCTTCCCCTGAGGCTATTGCCAAGTATCACTCCCGTTGTGAGTCTAACTTTGCTCATGTGGATCATCCAGACTATGTAACCACATTAATGGAGATATCAAACTTCCAGGAGGCATCAGCACCTATGGAAAACTAAATTAGACATGATTTAGGGCATTAGCCCCTAGTGGCCGAACCCACTAGGAGTGGTTGGCCTCTACCCCCATATTTTGCTAGGTTTATGGTTTAATTTTGAACAATTTTTCTATGTATTTAGAATCATTTGTTTGGTTTTGGTTTGTTTTGAATTATGGATTGTTATTGGAATGGATATTATTTTCTTGAATTGCTTAATTGAATGAATGGACTTATATTTATGCATGTGACCAATTCAATCAATTTATTTCTAGGTATGTCTAGTGGGGAAGTTAGTTGTCTGGCAGATAGTGCAACTACGCACACCATTTTGCGTGAATGACACTATTTTACTAACTTCATACCCAAGAAAGCTCATTTGACAACTCTCTCAGGCTCATCCAACCTGATTGAAGGATACGAAAAGGCACGTATCATGTTGTCTAATGGTACCATCTTGACCATTAAGGAGGCACTCTATTCTCCACGTTTCGGAAGAACGTTGCTGAGTTTTAGAGATATTCGAGATAATAAATATCATCTTGAAACCACTGAAGATCATGGTTCTGAATTTCTTTGTATCACTTCATACGAATATGGCTAGAAACATATTCACGAGAAGTTGGAACGTCTGCCGAGTAAGTTGTACATCACAACCATTCGCAGCATAGAGGCCCACAGTGTGGCCGGCCCTATGCCTGCGTTCCAGGACACTTTGTTGCTTTGGCATGACCGTTTGGGACATCCTGAACGTGACATGATGCACCGTATCCTCAAATCTTCACACGGGCATAAGTTACATCCACACGTTGGAGTCCCGCCATGCATAGCGTGTTCTTTAGGGAAGTTGAATACTCAACCCTCCCATACAAAGATTAATCAAGACCCTCCTAAATTTCTTCAGATGATTCAAGGGGACATTTGTGGACCTATCCAACCAACATGCGGACCATTTAGATACTTTATGGTGTTGGTTGATGCATCGACAAGATGGTCACATGTTTGCTTGTTGTCCACACGCAATGCCGCGTTTGCTAAACTCCTAGCTCAAATCATTAAGCTAAGGGCTCACCACCCTGATTATCCGATTAAATCGATTCGACTGGATAATGCTGGAGAGTTTACGTCACAGACTTTTGACGATTATTGCATGTCAGTAGGGATTAATGTGGAACATCCTGTGCCCCATGTTCACACCCAAAACGGCTTGGCAGAAGCTTTCATAAAGCGCCCTCAATTGATAGCTTGGACTTTGGTTATGAGAACCAAACTACCGGTATTTGCCTGGGGCTATGCAATATTGCACGCAGCTATGTTGGTCCGCCTGAGGCCAATCGCTACCCAACCACATTCACCGTTACAGTTGATCACTGGATACGAGCCTGACGTCTCGCATTTACGGATGTTTGGGTGCGCTATTTATGTGCCATTAGCGCCGCCGCTACATACCAAAATGGGTCCTCAGAGAAAAATGGGAATCTATGTCG